TGGGCTATTCTGTCTGTTATGCTAGCATCACAGATTAAATATTAGAGTCTTAAAATTTATTTTACATTCTGGAAGAGGTATTCTCTCCTTCATTATGTTTTTAGAGTACTTAAAAAATTTTTTTTTATCAGTTTTTTTCCCAGAAGAGTTTTATGTTTCTGTGCAGGTGAAAAGATTACTATGTTTATAAGCATTACATTTAAGTTCTTACTAGTGAAGAACTAATATTTATACTTATTTTTCCCACCTATTAATTCAAGCATTAGTTTAAAAACTTACTTTGTAAAAAAATTACAAAAGTAACACAATCAGCTCCATTAATTTTTATTTTTTGGTTTTGCTTTTTTTAAATTTTTATTATTATGGTATCATTAATATACAGTCACATGAGCAGCATTGTGGTTACTACATTCCCTCCATTATCAAGTCCCCACCACATACCCTATTAGAGTCATTGTCCATCAGCATAGTAAGATGCTATAAAGTCACTACTTGTCTTCTCTGTGCTATACTGCCTTCCCCGTGCACCCCTCCTACATTATGTGTGCTAGTCATATTGCCCCTTAACCCCTTTTCCCTCCTTTCCCCCCCACCCTCCCCAGTCTGTTTCTCTTTGGTAACTGTTAGTCCATTCTTGGGGTCTGTAAGTCTGCTGCTCTTTTGTTCCTTCAGTTTTTCTTTGTTCTTATACTCCACGGATGAGTGAAATCATTTGATACTTGTCTTTCTCTGCCTGGCTTATTTCACTGAGCATAATACCCTCTAGCTCCATCCATGTTGTTGCAAATGGTAGAATTTGTTTTCTTCCTATGGCTGAATAATATTCCACTGTGTATATGTACCACATCTTCATCCATTCGTGTACTGATGGATGCTTAGGTTGCTTCCATTTCCTGGCTATTGTAAATAGTGCTATGATAAACATAAGGGTGCATCTGTCTTTTTCAAACTGGGCTGCTGCATTCTTAGGGTAAATTCCTAGGAGTGGAATTTCCTGGGTCAAATGGTATTTCTATTTTTAGTTTTTTGAGGAACCTCCAAACTGCTTTCCACAATGGTTGAACTAATTTGCATTCCCACCAGTAGTGCAGGAGGGTTCCCCTTTCTCCACTTCCTCACCAGGATTTGTTGTTTTTTGTCTTTTGGATGCTGGCCATCCTTACTGGTGTGAGGTGATACCTCATTGTGGTTTTAATTTGCATTTCTCTGATGATTAGCGATGTGGAGCATCTTTTCATGTGCTGTTGGCCATCTCAATTTCTTCTTTGGAGAAGTGTCTGGTCAGATCCTCTGCCCATTTTTTAATTGGATTATTTGCTTTTTGTTTGTTGAGGTACGTGGGCTCTTTATGTATTTTGGATGTCAACCCCTTATCGGATATGTCATTTATGAATATATTCTCCCATAGTGTAGGATGACTTTTTGTTCTACTGAGGGTGTCCTTTACTGTACAGAAGCTTTTTAGTTTGATATAGTCCCACTTGTTCATTTTTGCTTTTGTTTTCCTACCCTGGGGAGATATGTTCATGAAAAAGTTGCTCATGTTTATATTCAAGAGAGTTTTGCCTGTTTTCTTCTAAGAGTTTTATGGTTTCATGACTTGCATTCAGGTCTTTGATCCATTTCAAGTTTACTTTTGTGTATGGGGTTAGACAATAATCCAGTTTCATTCTCTTGCATGTAGCTGTCCAGTTTTGCCAACACCAGCTTTGAAGAGGCTGTCATTTCCCTATTGTATATTCATGGCTCCTTTATAATATATTAACTATGTATGATATGCTTGGGTTAATATCTGGACTGTCTATTCTGTTCCATTGGTCTATGGGTCTGTTCTTGTGCCAGTACCAAACTGACTTGATTACTGTGGCTTTGTAGTAGAGCTTGAAGTTGGAAAGAGAGATCTCTCCTGCTTTATTCTTCCTTCTTAGGATTGCTTTGGCTATTCGGGGTCTTTGTGATTCCATATGAATTTTAGAACTATAGCTCCATTAATTTTTAACTGAAATACAATTTTAAGATTCATACAATTCTTTTACTTTGAGCCAATATCCTTTTCTCCTGCTCCCTGATTAACTGCTGTCCTTGAAGAGTTTCCAAAGGTATTTTCTACCCTTTCTTTTCTGAATAAGTTATCTACTTGATCAACACTGATAAATGGCTGAATTAACTCCCCTTGAAGCCATCCTCTTGAAAAAGTAAGACTGATACCCCAACTCCAATTTCATCCACCAAACATTTATTTGTGCCACATGCCAGACTCTAGGGACACAATATAGTACAAAACAGACATCATTCCTGTCCCCATGGAATTTACATTTTCACAATACTGTTAGTGGTAGAAATTATTTATGGTGATTAAAAAAAAAAAGATAAGCCTGTACATTTTGGTGCATTTTCTTTTCATGAAAGGGATAAATGAAGAAAGACACTTACTGCATCACTTAGGACTTCACTGTTTACAGGTAAGATGTGTTCAATTCGCAGGAAAGATAAGAGAGAAGAAAGGATCTCTCTAAGTTCTTCGATGTCCAGGTCTCGTCTTTTCACACCTCTTTTGTTCACACTGTGAGCAGTGCCACTCAGTAAGTTTGGCTCTATGAGACACAGAATGAAAAATCTCCAACCAAATCCAAACTTTCAGAAAAAGGCTTGCTTTCTTTTCTAATACTTCCAGTAACACTCTTTATGCTTACATAGACCTTCTTTAAAAAGGGCTATAAGTAATTTTTATGTCTTGAGAAGTTTATTTAACAGAGATGTTCTTGGACAAAGAAAAAGCATGGTGTCAGCAGTACAATAACATACTTTTATGACTATACTAAAGAATAAAGGATTCTTTTTTTGTATTCTAGCTCAAAGGAGAAAAGATGACTATCTATTCAAACCTAGTTTGACCAAGGGCTCTTTCTTAAGCTTCCTCACTTTTGTGACCAGTTTCTAGTACAGTAGGAGCACTACAAGGCAAATATTATTTCTGGTCACTGCAGGTTATCAGTATGCTCATTAGACTACCAAATGTTTAACGGCAAGTAAACAAGATATTAATCAGGTGGCACCTAAAACAGCAGAACCCAATGTTTACTGTACTTCAGATTTTTATGGTAGTCTCCTAAATTTCCATAATATGGAAATGTTACTTAATAAAAGTGAACCATTTGATCTCTGACATGTAATATATTTCCAGTGTCCAGAGCAGGGAATGAAGGTTTTCCTCATTGGGTATTAGTGAAAGGGGAAGACTTAAAGTACATCTATGCTTATGGTACTGAGGTGGGAAGAAAAATGACATACGTTTTGGGAATCTTTACTTATGTCTTTAATCTAGAGAGCTGTATTTTTTTCTTAAAAAGTAAGATTTTTATCATTCATAAATATAAATGCTGAATTTTCTGTAAACACTCCATAGGTTAACTGGTATTTCCCTTAAGTCATGGGGTACACAGACAGATAAAGAGATGTTATTTTTAAGAAGCTAAGCTCTTTCTGGAGTCATTAAAAATAAAATTGTTGTAAGTATGTGGAAAAGGGTTTTTTTTCCCTTGCCTTGCTATGATTTGGTTTCATACTTATACAAAGCATTGCTTTTCAGTATTTTTTTTCTGAAAGTAGTAGCATCCTGTTTTCAAATGAAATCTTACATGAAACTCCCAAATATGTAACAGGTAAGAGCAGCCCCCTTATACATGAAGGTGGCTGAAACAAGGGTGCAGCCTGGTTGCTCTGCTTTCTTCTCATCCCTGTGTAAGAGCCTTCCCTTCTAGCTTTGTCTAAAAACTACTGTTTAAGGGAAATTTTATCAAGGACACTCATGATCTTCCCAAAATAATTTCATTTGCCAATCTTACACGAGTGAACAAGCCTATGGCCTATAATAATCATGTAGTATTTTATTCAATTAATTCTTGCTATTTGGGGTTAGTTATGTTTTACAAAATTAAAGCAAACAATTAACTGGCAAATACTAAACCACTGCTCCTAAAGGAACACAGGGTTAGGTTCCTGTGAGCCTCTGATCACATTTTTGTCAATTCTGTAAATGTACGTAACTTTGTTTTATGTGTGTTTCTGTTTAAAGGCACCTTATTCATATATATTGGTTCATTAATATCAAATTCACAACCAACAGGACTGTAACTCATGCCGGGAAGTTTACTTTTCTCCATATTTTTTCCATAAAGCATACTTGAAAGCTAATAAAAATGTGAAAAGCATTTTTCACATAAGTACTAAATAGAATGTGAAAAGGATATTTATTTACAATATGGCAGAGTGTCACCTTGTTCCACCTTAGGCTGGGAACATGTGCATCAGGGGACTGAAAGCTTTGGTACTCTGAGGATGTCTGCAGATGACCATGAAAGTACTGTGAATACTGATTTTGGGGTTACAAATAAATTTTAATAAGTAGGTGAATTTGCAAATACTGAATCTGTGAATAAGGAGGCTGGACAGTATACTGGCAGTTCAAAAACATCCCTTATTAATAGTGGTTTTTATATTAACAGAAATTCAAATCTCAGAATTGCTAAAGGCGTTTTTGTAGGCCAAAAAGAAATATAATAGGAGAAATAAAATTAGAGGACTGCTTTTATTCCTTACTGCTTGGGTAGAAGTGTGTTAAAGGAACACAATAAAAAGGTTTGGGGAGGTTTAGCTTGTTTTTTTGTGTGTATTTAAAAATGTGACAGAACAATTCTGTAAATGTACTAAAGACCATTAACTTGAACACTTTAAATAGGTGAGCTTTATGGTACATATGTAAATAAAGCTGCCAAAAAAATAACAGCAAAGGGAAATCTTTATTTAATTTTTCTAATTAAAATGTGTTTATTTGGGTTAACTATATAGAGGAACACCATAGTCTATGAAGGAAGGAGCACAGGTGGGTGGGCTAACCCTAGACATAAGCAAAAGGCTACTATAGAATCATAAGCTTCTGAAGTTGAAAGCCCACCTCCTATATATGATGCTTCAATTTCTTCTGCAGTATCCCTCGTCAGAGACCATTCAAAGTATTATTTCTCCTTTACCTTCCACAAAATTTAAAAATAAACAATAAATATGTTTTTGGGTAGTCATATATTTTTTTTGAGGTAAAATTAACATACCATTAAGCTCACCATTTTAACTGCTTTAAAGTGTTCAATCTAGTGGCTTTTAGTACAATTACAACATTGAGCACCATTGCCACTAGCTAATTCGAGAACATTTTCACCAATATATTTTTGTAACACTTTAATCATTAAATGAAAAATATCAATCTAATACTTCCACAAATCAGTGTATATTATTAAATATATAGAAAGATAACATTAAAAGTACTTTTTTCAAGTTGCAAAATAAAGACACCTTATTAATATGTATTTATACTTTGAACAAAATATATCCTCGCCACTAAAGGATTTTTTTATGTATTATAAAATTTCTATTTTCACCAGGCAATAGTGGCTATTGTCAAGACTGACACGGAGCATGCATTTTAGTAAGTTTTTGGGAAAAACTTAGAGTGCAAGCTAGTTTTTTGAGCTTACCTCTGTCTGCTATTCTTTTCATCAACTGATGCTCACCCCACTTTATCAGATATTTAAGGATATCTTGTTCACTTGCCTATAATAAAAAATGGTTGATTTTAGTGAAATTAGATATATGGTTAATTTCATTAATGACTTTTCATAGGTCATAATGTAAATACAGTTGCAACTTACCACATTCTACTCTTTACACTGGCTCTTTGAATGTTCGAGTTAAACCTATGGTCCATCAACAGCGAACATACAAGACTGCATTATATGTGTTTCAACCAGTAACCTCACTCTTGGCTCCACCTAAAATTTGTCTTCGTATTTTCATCTATATTTTTTCTTTATCCTGTTCTCTTCACCTATTTTGAATTTATTTTATCTTACTATATGGTCTCTACACAGCTGCCTTAAATTCTTTTTAGGACAAGATGGGGATAAATAAATGAAAGTAGAAGTACACAATGTGATTATCATTTCCTGTGGGAACAGAAAAAACAAGTATGGCAACTTGTTTTGGCAAAAGAGGCTACAATCTCCACAAGGTATGATGATTGGTGAAGGACCCTTCAAGCACAGTCTGTGAAATGGCAATGTGTCCCTTATTTCTTTGTGCTTTATTTAAAATCTTAGAACAAATCTAGGCTGCTCTCTGAGGTTTTTACTTTTCAAGAAGAAACACAAAGCTTCTTAAGACAATAATATTAAGAGAACTGACAAACCCTAACTCTCATAAAGTACGCAGTCTGGAGCAGGACAGTAAAGCAAGGTTAATGAACAAAGATCTTGAATAAATCAAATTAAGTTATGACAATATTTGTGCTGCAATCAAAGAAATGTATTAAGGAAAAGCACAGATGTTAAGTGGATTATTTAACTATTCACTGCATTTCTTGACTGTGGTGGAAGTGTTTCATAATTTCTCTAGTACAAATATAAAGAAGAAATGGCTGAATGGATTTTTGTCTTTACAACACTAAAACTGTTGGACAGTTTTCAGCACAAAGTTCATACAACCAATGCAAAAAAAAAAAAAAAAAGTTAACTTTTGGCATACTTTACCAGAAAGTACTTTTTACAATCTTTTAAATCTATTGTTAGTTTAAATTACCAAACTACATTGACATATAAGTCAAGGACAGATGAATTTGCTAAAAATTGCTTTTGACTGAGTAAGTCACTGAAAACACCCTTATACTTTGATAGGACATGTACACTGAGGTTTTGTAAGCATTTAAGTAGATCAGCAATCTAATATGATTCTTACTTGGTTGCTTAAGCTACTATCTATAGTCTTAAGTATGATCCCCCACCAAAAATAAAAAACTATTATAGTGTATCTACTATTAATGAAAGCCAAGAAAATCACTTTTGGGATATGCTTCTGATCTTGTCTACTATCTCAACCAACCCCTTTGGTGCAGTTGGTTGGGAGTGGGGCTTGTTCACAGTGGTGAGTCATAGCAGCAGTGTGCATGAAGGGCCAGAGAGCCAGAAGGCTTTTGCTGTACAAATCTGAAGAGGACACTCCCGGGCAGACTGATCTCCTTCAATGGGAGAATAACAGAGTACAGATGGGTTTCTTGGTGCATGTATGGATGACAACGAATTTGAGAGCTATATAAATGATTACCTGTAGGTAGTCAGACTGGATAGCAGTAAGCAGATGGTCTTTGCTGAGTTCATAAAAAACATCCGAAGTCATGACCTGGGAAAATTCCTCACAGAGGAAATGTAAAGCTTGTCGGTGTACCCATTTAGAGCCATATGGATGAGAGCTCCACTTGAGGATGGCAATTAAAGTATCTAATGAGATGCTCTCAGCAATGATATCCTCACAGCCTAAAAGAGAAGGCAAATACTTCTTGAGATTAATCATAAATATTATTTATTGAACATTAGTGCTAGATTCTATATTTAAAAGTAACAATAGTAAAAAAAGAACAATGAGATAAATAAAATCTCATGGAAATCACCAAGACTTGGTGGGATGGGGTAATAATTGGTAACATTAGACTATGACATCTAAAGGAAATCTGCTGTTCAGTAGAGATAGATCCACAGAAAAAGGCAGAGAATCCTCACAATTGCTTAAGAAAGTAAGTATCTATATACAAATCCAACAATCTGAGTAAAATACTATAGTGCAGAAGATTGGACCAAAGGGAAAAGAGGAGTAGGTAGAAATGATACAGCCATGGGAATTCACCAGAGGAAGGTTACGGATGACCTGACTGAGAAGAGAATGCATGCTTGAAAAGGAGACGGAGGGCTATCTTCTATAAACTATGGGGACATCTGCCCTTTGTATCATCCTAATATAAAAACACTTGCATTCATCAGTAGATGAATGGATAAAGAAGATGTGGTACATATACACAACGGAATATTATTCAGCCATAAGAAGAAAACAAATCCTACCATTTGCAACAACATGGATGGAGCTAGAGGGTATTATGCTCAGTGAAATAAGCCAGGCAGAGAAAGACAAATACCAAATGATTTCACTCATCTGTGGAGTATAAGAACAAAGAAAAACTGAATGAACAAAACAGCAGCAGAATCACAGAACCCAAGAATGGACTAACAGTTACCAAAGGGAAAGGGACTAGGGAGAATGGGTGGGAAGGGAGGGATAAAGGGGGTGGGGGAAAGAAAGGGGGCATTATGAATAGCATTTATAATGTTGGGGGGGCACGGGGAGGGCTGTACAACACAGAGAAGACAAGTAGTGATTCTACAGCATCTTACTATGCTGATGGACAGTGACTGTAATGGGGTATGTGGGAGGAACTTGGTGATGGGGGGAGTCTAGTAAACATAATGTTCCTCATGTAATTGTAGATTAAGGATAACAAAATAAAAACTTAAAAGACACTTGCATTGTTGGTAATTCAATCCCTCAGGATACAAACATATTGTAGTTTTATGCTCATCTGGGATTAATTCTGGTGAATTAAAAAGAAATAAGTGGTTTAAGTGAAAAGGACCAAGACTGCAGAGAAAGTGACTATCGCACCTTAAGAACTCAAAGAGAAGAATAAAATTTGAGAAGAGTCAGCTATTTTCCTTAGGGAAGATCATTTTAAAATATAAAGACAAAATATAAGTAAAATTTAAGTAAAAAAGATCATGCAAGGGAATATGGCTGAAGTTGGACAGAAATTCTTCATAAGTTAGTTTACTATGAAATAAAAAAGAACCCTGATAATGGGGGAGGCACATTTAAATACCACCATTGCCCCCACAAATGTGACTAAACAGGCTGCTCTCTCATGAGCTCACAGCTTTAAGACAGCCAAAAGAAAGGGTATGAACTCCGGAGACTTCCAAAACTCCCAAGTTATTGTGAAACCAGGAAAGGCAAAAAGAGAAAAGTAATGAAACCCCATTTTCAGGTGATACAAGATCATTAGTAGCCAATACAGAGTCTGTAAAAAGTAATGCTTCATTTCCTTTTCTAATATGGTACCAGATAAGGAAAGTACCATAGAGAATCATGTAACCTGATTACTGCGGAGCTTTTAACCAAACACTTCACGGAGTCTCTAGAGTGTCAGTTCCACAGGACAGGGACTGCTGTCTTCTCTGTATCTCTAGCATCTTTTTGCACATGGTAAGCACCAAATAAAAATACGCCCAATACAAATGAGATCTTTGCAGGTAAGATGAAGAGATGTAGAAGCATGGCAGAACACTGGCTAATAGAACCATATTAATTAAGCAGCACTGGTTAACTGGGGGGGATGGCATGGGGAGTCTGTTTTTGTGACGCTTATGTAAGAACTTAAATGAACATGTGGAAAGTATGTTTCAAAATCCCCAGATGACCTAAAACTGGTGAACACAGTTATGAACACACTGGATAATATGATCATAATTGGTTAAAAAGATGGGTCAAAATGAAGATGAAACTAGAAAAATCAGAAAGTTCTACATTTAAAGAAAATCAACTGCAGAGTAGATGAGAGGGGACAGCTAGCTTAACTACTGCCTATGTAAAAATAATGTCTGGGTTATTTTACAAGTGAATGCAAAATGTGACATGGCTGCTATACAGCTGAAGCAATCTCAGGCTTTGAAGATACCAGCCCTGAGTCCTAATCAAAGGAGTAATGTTGCACTGTTCTCCTGTGGTTGCTGTGTTCTAGATGGGGCACTGACAGAACTCCAGAATTCTCAGAGGGCAAAAGAATAGTGGAGAGTTTGAGACTTGTCACTGAAGAAAAGCTCTGGGCAACCAAGATTATTTGGCTTATGTAAGAGAAACCTGAGGAGAGATATAAGAGCTATCTTTAAATGTCTGATGGACCTTCATGAGGAAGAGGAGAAATGACTGACTTCTCTGCTGTTGGGGGCAGATCCTGGGACACAAAGGGATGTTAAAAGAAGGGGCAGTTTGATTCAGTATTAAGAAATTTCTAACAATTAGAATTGCTCTCCTCTCCTCCTCTCAAAAGAAGGATCCCTTTAGGAAACTGGAGGGGCAAAGGCTGGCTCATCACATTAGGGATAGAGTACAAAGGACCCCTACACAGGATATGGAACTAAGGTCAGATGATATCCAAGCTGCTTCCAACATGAACACAAAACCCATTTTAGAAAAATGGCCATAGATATACACAGACGAGCAATTAATCTAAAGATTAAAGATTAATTTTATCTAAACATTAACATGAGATTCTTAGAAGGCACATGTAGACCATCACAGGGCGATCTGCACATAAACAACACCCAAGCCATGGATATGTACTGAGAGGAGGGAGGGGAGGGAAATACGGAAAAATTCTGGATGATTCTCATGATTTGTGGTGAGCCTTGAATGGGAGGACAGCAGCTAGTGACAGACTTCTGTTAGTCTGTCCAGTCCAGCAGGTACTGGACTACAGCTGAGTAGGATGAGTCATTTACAGGAACGGCAGTCTGACAGATGTGTCTGAGAAGGAAGCAGGATGAATTAGAGAAAAGGTGGTTATTTAAAAGAAAGTTTCAAGATCCTCCTAAACCAGGATATTGGCAGAGGTAAAGAAAGAGAATTAATGGTAATACCATATAGTTAAACTTCTGAGGTTTATAGTGAAGTGAGACATGGCATGAAAAAATGGGCTTTGGAATCAGATTGGACTTGAAATCCCACTTTGGTCACTTAGCAACAAAATTACTTGGGGCAAGTCACTTAACCTCTTTGTTCTCATTTGTAAAACTGGGATTGTACTCCTAACTCAGGGTTCTTGGGAAACTACCCTTGACATTCTTCATTCATTCCAACAGTATGGAGTCACTACTTGCCAAGTGCTGTGAATACACAGCTTTTTACTGGGCATGTTCCCGGTGATGACATCTGCCCTGATGGTCTTAACTCCTATTGCATCCTTAAGACTTCAAGCCTACAGTTCCAACCCAGAGCTTTCTCCAGACTCCCAGACTCACTCCTTAAACTGTCCATTAGAGTTCCACATGGATTTTCTGGACATCTCAAATCCAAAGTCTACTCATTTCTTGTGGGAAATTTAGCATTCCCGTTTAATCCCTGTTTTAGAGAAGGCTTTCTCATCTGCCCAGTCACCAAAACCAGACATCTGAGTACTGTTACTGATTCCTTCTCCTAAAGCCTGCATGCAGTCTACCATTAAATCTGTTCATTCTGTTCTCATTTTAAACCCATCCCCCCCTCTGAAGCTCTATCACCTGTTTCAGAATCTGAGGCTTTCTCCCTCATTACTGAAATAGCCTAAAAAATTCCCATAACCAGTCTTGATCCTTTCCAATCTATTCTCCATCCTGTTGCCAGAATGATCTTTTAAAATGTAATTTAGATTATGTAACAATTACTCAACAGCTTGCAAATGACTTCAAGATAGAATCTAAACTGTCTTCTTGGTGATAGATACGGTTCCTTCCAACTTCTCTAATTTCATCCCCTGTTCATATTCTGCACTCCAGTTATATTGCACGGCTTACAATTTCCTAGAATTCTACAAAATTCTCTTACTTCCAGGCCTTTGCATATGTTGTTCCATTTCCTGAAATGCTCCCAATTCTCCTTAACTTCTCTACATCTTGCAGACTCAGCTTAGATGACTTTTTCCAAAGCTTACCTTGATCCTGGCTTCCCAAAGCCTGGGTCAAGTGCTCTTCCTACCTAAAAATGTCTAGGGCACCCTACGTTTCTATTATAAGCATTAAACTTTCATACTATTTTATCTTTCTGATCTATCTGTTTGAATCCTCTACCAGACTGAGAGCTCCTCTGGGGTAGAGGCCCCACATTATCTGCTTCTACAGTGCCTGACACCTAGTAGATAATTAAAAACAAACATAATGGTTCACGTTTTGAAATTTATTATGTGCCACGTTCTGTACTTAAAATATTTAATTCTAGCACTTTTCCTTGAGGAAGGTGTATTATTATTATTATTCCCATTTTACAGATGAGAAAACTAAGACTCACAAAAATTAACTTGCCCCAGGTGACATAGCTAGAAAGAAAAATCATACTTAGCTCATCAGAACTTTTTCACTTAGAACTACTTCTCTTATGAACAGAAAAATATCTTATAAATATACCAAACATAGTGATACTAACTTAAAAATGTAAAAGGAAGACAATTAGGCAAAAAACTGGAATGCTGAAGGTAGGTTTTTAAAGACTTATCTAACACTGTCAAAATTATTATTTTCCTTTTACAGTAAAGGATTTCAATGAGCGATAATTTGCCTTTTGTTGAGATTATCAGTAATGGAATGAATATGTAAATACAGCAGCAAGGCTGAAGTGATGCTGGCAGGGAAAGGCCAGCAAGGGAGATGCAGAGACTTGCATCAGTATCATTTCCTTGGTA